TAAACCCAAAAAAGCAGTAAAACCTAAGTTCCAGGTTTCCCTACACCTTACCTAGGGTTAGGGTTTAGGGGTTTAGGGGTTTTGGGTTTAGGGGTTTAGGGCTTAGGGGTTTTGGGGTTTTGGCTTTAGGGTTTAATGTAGGATCCTTACTACTTAGAGTAGGGTTTAGGGATTCAGGGTTAAAGGTAGGGGCCTCAGTGCTTAGAATAGGGTCTGGGGGCTTAGGGTTTAGTGTAGGGGCCTTACTACTTAGAGTAGGGTTTGGGGTTTTGGGTTTTATGTAGGGGCCTTATTAGAGTAGGGTTTGGGGGTTTAGGGTTTAATGTAGGGGCCTTACTACTTAGAATAGGGTTTTGGGGTTTAGGGTTTAGGGCTTAATGTAGGGGCCTTAGTACTTAGAACAGGGTTTTGGGGTCTATTATACAAAAGTTATGATACGGAACCCCCAGAATAGTATAGGTAATTAATAACTAGGCCCCTGTATTACGTGCGGCCAACGGCTTTGTGTTTGCGGTTTAGGGTTTAGGGCTTGGGGTTTGGCGTCTAGGGTCTCGGGTTTAAGGTTTATAGGGCTTCGGGTCTAGGAGCTTTAGGTTTAGGGATTAATGTTTAGGGTGTTCGGGTTTACGTCCTTTACGGGTTCATTAACGACTTTTTGCAAAAAAAATCAAACATGTGGCACATCTGAGTGACAAAGACGTTGCTCTCAAACAACATGCGCAAGTGCGCGTCTTTTGTCGCAGAGTTTGGCCCAACTGCCCCATACAAGGCCTGAATGAGATCCTAAGTCCCTAAACCCTAAACCCTAAACCCTAAACCCCATACAAGGCCTGAATGAGATCCTAAGTGGTCCAAACTAGTCGCGATTTTCCTGTCAGTTGAGACAGTCCACACGGGCTTGAGATAAGCAGTGATCAGAGTCCTTCAAGGGATCTATAAGGGTGTTATAAGGGGATACCTGAAGGATGAAGCGGGACCTGGTAAGTAGGGTTTCTGCAAGGTTTCCTTTAAGGGTCGCTAACCGGGTTACTACAATGGTCTAAAAGGGCTGTAGAGGTATAGGGTTTAGGGCTTGGGATTTAGAGTTTAGGTTCTAGGCTTCAATTATACAACTTTGTAACAGGGTGGCATTGCGCCGCTTTCCCGGCAATGTGCAGTTCTAGCTACTTACAATAAACTATATAAGGCTCCTGGACCCTTGTAGTGAGATCCCACACCCTAGCCCCCAAAGCCACAACCCTTTTCCAGAAAGTCCAAGACCCTCTTAGTAGCCTTAGGGTAGTCTCTGGAGCCTAAACCCTGATCCACTTCAGCATCTCATAACCATTGATTAGAGGAAACCTTGAAGGAGCCCTTGCACAGAA